CCGGGCGTGCCCCGCGCACCACGGCTGGGGACAGTTGAGTCCCCGGGACGTGGGGGCGTTAAAAACGAAGGAAGAAAGCAGCGGGCGAGGCGGGCAGGGAAGGGACAGCTCCGTGCTCCGGGAATCCGCAGGGTCCTTTCCCCCAGTACTCAACGCCTGGCCCGGCCTGCGTCCCCGGCACGCGAGGAGAGGGCGACCCTGGGCACTGCCGGGAGCGCAGCCCGCGCCGGGCCCGCCGCCCCCGCGCACCTGCGGCCACTGCACAGAAGAGCGTGGGGGGCGCGGCCCGACCACATGGCGCAGGACCTGCACACCCCCACACACACACCACACCGGGTCCTTGAGGCGCATGGTCGTGAACGCATCTGTCATGCAAGGTTACAGTGGTAAAGGGCGGGGCTTGCCCCCGGGTCTGCGGCCCCTGACCTCCTCTAAACCACAGTTGCCACCACCATCAGCCTCGCTTCAACAATCCTAAAACAGACGGTGTGTCTCGGCCCCTTTTACAGGTAAAGGGAGGGGCAACCCCTGGCCCGAGCCCCCAGGACGCTGCTTGCTGGAGGGACAGACGCCTGCATCTGGGGCGGGCGCTGTCACTAAGAAGCTCTAAGGGGCCAAACCCGTGGCTCACTCGGGAGAGTGCGGCGCTGAGAGCGCAGCACACCGCCGAGGCCGCAGGTTCAGATCCTGTATAAGGATGGCCGGTGCGCTCACTGGCTGAGAGCAGTGCGGGCGACACCACACCAAGGGTTGCGATCCCCTTACCGGTCACACACACACACACACACACACACACACACACACACACACACACACACAAAGAAGCTCTAAGGACGAAGGTTCCTGGAAGAGTCACAGTGCCCACTCTCGTGGTGGGGGGACACCCTAACCCACCCCCACACACAGGTGGCTCAGCCCACCCCAAGACATCACAGACAGACAGGAGGGGAGAGCATCCTGAGCCGCACCCCGAAACCACTGTCCTGCTGGACCCCTTCTAGAAGAGGCGGGCTTAGGCTGCCCGCTGGCTGCCCCCGCTCTCACTCAGTCTCTGGGTCCAGTTGCTAGTTCACTTAGTTTTTCAATCATTCGTTTATTCACATATGCAAAGTGCCCGGAGCTGTGACAACTACCGCTTGAGAGCGCCCAGTCCCAGCATGGACGCTACCCATGTGGGGCGGGCGATACCATTGCTGTCCCCCCACCTCTCTGCAAGTGACCACCGCCTGCAGCACTCTGCCCAGATGGAGAGGGCGCAACATTGTACTGGAGCCAAAGACACACCGGTCACCTACTAAGCACCTACTGTGTGGGGGACAAGGGAGTGGGTGGTGGGGTCTGCAGAAAAGACTGGGAGGCTCCTGCGGCTCAGAGGGCAGGTAGGAGGGAGTGTGGCCTGTCCGCTGACCAGACGGACACAAGGAGCTGGAAGGCATCCCCCGCCCATCCTTCCTGTTGGGTCAGGATTTAGGTCAATCTTTAAAATCCCCAGGCAAGGTCAGGATTAAAACCCAACGGGACAGTGACAGTTAGGATTAGGGCTAGGATTGGGGTCACGGCTCCCGCATCTGCTGACTGGGGTCGCCTACACCTCAAGGAACTTGACAGACATGCCCCTCTGGAATGTGCTTCAGATCCCCAGTGGGGACAGCAACTGGGCTGGAACCAGGAGGGGGCTGACCCTGGCTGTCACCCACGGTGTGGGAATCAGGGCTCAGCCTAACCTGACTGGTTCCAGGCTTGTTTCCAAATGGCCTGTTGTGAAGATTGATGAGTTACCCATGAAGGGTAAGAAAGATGCCTGGCACACAGGAGGTGTCACCTGAGTGCAGACCCAAGGTCATATTGGGGATCAGGCTCCGGGGCTCTATCCTGCACAATGGGGATAGGACAGTGCCTCCTGCCTGGGGTTGTAGCAGAGGTTAAACAGTTTGACTCCAGGGCCCAGCTCAGCAGGAAGCATCACATGAGGGTAGGAACCCGGTGTGTTCACTAGGTCAAGTTGTAAAAGGGGCCACTTCTTCCTGGGGTCTAGGCCGGGAAGAGATGAAAAACAGCCTTCATGTTTAGAACCCAGCACCACGAATGCAGAATCCCCAAAGTGCACATAGCTACCCAGATTTTGCAATCTTTGGAGTGCCTCTTAATTTAGGATCATGCAACCTTAGAGATGAGGACAGGGTGACCTTCCAGCCCTGACCACACACCTGCCCCTGCCCATTGGGTAAGCTCTGAGCAGGACGTGTGGCCTCTACTCCAGGGGTGAAGCCAGGTCTGCAGCCTTCAGCAGGAGGTAGCACAGGGCCCTCCCTGCTGGACGCACAGGCAGAGCTGCATGTGGCCCGGCCTTCCTGCACACTCGGGTATTCCCTCAGTGCCAGCACGGAGTAGGCCCTGCATACCCATGTCTCCAAGTCCTCCCTATGACAGCCCTGGAATAGGGTGTCCAGACTTAGCAAATAAAAATACAGGACACCCAATTAAATTTGAACCCCAGAAGAGCAACAAACCATTTTTCAGTACAAGCATGTCTCAAGTATTGCATGGGACACACACTAAGATATTTGTCTACCTATAATTCGAATCTAACTGCACATCCTGCATGTCACCTGGTGACCCGACCCAGGAACCATAGACAAGGAAAACTACTGCATGAGAGAGGAACAGCAGGGCGGGCTCCCCTACACAGCCTGTGCGAGAGGGGTGAGGCTCTGGGGCTGTCAGATGGGCGTCTTCCCCCATCCCCACTTCCATGCTCAAGAGCGCTATCTCTGGATATGTGCCCCCTGAGGACGGGCTCAGGCCAGGGGGGTAGAATGGCATTGCTCCCTGGCATCTCCACTGACTCCTTCCAGAACAGATGTCTACATTTGGTTAGAATGTAGGAGGTCACCAAAGACCTCCACCCCCACTGTCAACAGAAAACACATGGTGAACTAAAACAAACAGATCAACTTTTCTTTATGGCATCAAAGAAATGAGGACCGGCTGGCCAGTTAGCTCACTTGGGAGAGCGTGATGCAGGTAACACCAAGGTCAAAGGTTTGGATCCCTGTACCAGCCAGCCAAAAAAAGAGCTGAGGACGGTTAGCATCTGTGCAGAGAGGGCTGAGTTTTTCTCCACAATCTACGGCCCGTAACCAGTGGGTGACCTTCCGGTCCTGAAGGCCTGGCTGACAACCCTAGAGAGCCTGGGCGAGTGGGTCCTCCCGGTATTGTGCCTGGGTCTGGGCTGGAAGGCGGAGGGAGGAAGCGCTGCTGGCAGGAAGGGCTCGATCCCACCACCAAACAAGCACAAGCCCAGCTGGCCCACTCCTGACACAACATCCTGCGTATGAACAGGAACACATCAGTGCACAGTAATTACTAATTATTAGCCCACGTCGCCCCTGAGGTTAGCAATGGTACCTCCCAACTCCAAGCCCCCACCCCGAGATAGGTTAATCAAATCAACCTCCCTAAGGCATACCTCTGCTCCAGCTCAAAAACCACTGAAGTGCCCACTACCTCCCCCAAATTTTCAAATTCCTTGGCGCAGGAGATAAGGTATCTTACCGCCTGACACTGTGCCGCCGTCTGGCTGCAGCGCTCACCCACACCTCTGGACCCGGCAGCTGCCCTTCCTGCCTCAAGCTCTGCTCGCGCCGTCCCTCCCACCTGGAATGCCAGGTCCTCCCTCTGAGGCTCAGCCAGCTGCTGATTCAGTCACGGGTGTGAAAACCACAAACAAACCTTCCCCACAGAGTGGGCGAGAGGCACATACTTCCCACAGGGGCCACAGACTGAAGTCTCAGGCCCATGACAGGAAGCACACCTGAGAACGAGGCCCATGTGGGACAGTTAAGTGCAAGTCCCAGTGTCCCTGGACTGACCTAACAGTGAGTCTTCCAGCACAAAGACAGACGACAGCAAGAGCACTGTGTTGCAGGGGCCGGCCCGGTGGCGCACTGGATAGTGCGCCGCTTGGGAAGCGCAGCAGCGCTCCCGTCCGAGGGTTCGGATCCCACATACAGACCGGCTCCTGCTCACTGGCTGAGCGAGGCACGGGAGCAACACCGAGGCTTGCAATCCCGTTGCCGGTCCCCGGTCCGGTACGGGGGCAACACTGAGGGTTGCGATCCGTTGCCGGACACGGAAAAAAGACAAAAAAAAAAAAAAAAAAAAAAAAAAAAA